CCCACCATAGCTTCCGAGAGCCGGTCCTCATTGCAACACAGTGTCGCATTCACGCTCTGAGTGTCGAGATCGGCGACGTGTGGCGGTGCGATAACGTCTGACGCGCGTGGCTGTGTTGCCCGAACCGCGTCGCGTATCGCGATCGCAGAACTCGCACTCGTCCTCTGCGGCCTCGGAGCTGCCCGTCCTCTGCTTGCTGCTCTGAGCGGACGCGGACAGGATGAGAGGGGATATCTTGGACGGTACGGCGCGTTTGATTTTGATATCCCATGAACAACGCGATATGTAGACACTCGACGGGAAGCCATAGTCCTTGGAGAGCGGCTGGATAAAGAGAATGAAGGGCGAGAGTGGTGCGCACTGACACGGGCATGGCTGGTGAGTGAGTCAAGTCCATTTCCCTCCGTGATTCATAGCTGAATAATCCCAGAGATCCGCAATTGCGTTCCATCATATATACGCGTTCCGGCCTTATACGCGACACCTCCATCTCGACAACTTCCCAGCGCCCGCGCCTCTCGCCATATTTTGCCTTCTCCCACGTACGACAGGGCACCTGGAGCGGCGCGTCCGCGGTGTAGGAAGGCAGCGTAGATGGGATGGCAATACATGCGAGGTCGAATCGGTCGACGTTAGGTGGTCGACGAGAGGGCGCGTATCGAAAAGGTGCGTCCTGGACTATTCGTTCGTCAATTCTCCTGCCCATGTGTCTCGTTTTGCCAGGATGTTCACGGTTACCCATGAATTCGCAGTTTGAACGCAGGAACACTGCAAGATCCAGATTCCCCCTCGACTTTTGCCTCATCGGGAACCCGATGAATATCCTCAAGTCATCGATTCGTTCTCCGCATGGCTCATCATTGCCGGTCCCGGTCGAGCGGTCAACTCTGGATCGACAGGCCTCGCTTCCTCTGGGTATAGCCGACCGCCCGAGTTTGCGTCGAAGACAGCGTCGCAGCCGCGTTCCGCGGGTCTCAGACCAACTCACCGCTCATTGAGTTGGGTAGCTTGGTGAGTTAACCCGATTCTCTTTGCTTGTCTCGTGCTGACTCAGGCTTACTAGTAGATATCTCTACGTTTTTGTACTCGTTCTGGATATAAAATTCAACTTCCGTTCTACCGAGTGAACTGATAGTGCATGCGCGCCAACGGCGCGCAACCGATTCGACGCCGACGAGAACAGTTTCCAGCGATGGCCAGCCTCTTGAGGACGCTCGCCCGCTCCTCCTGTGACATGCGCATCGCCCCCATCCCGTCCTCTGCGTGTCGTCCGACATGTTCGCCGCTTGTCTGTCTCAATCGACCTACTTTCCCGCTCGGTGTTGGAGGAAAAGTACTGCCACCCGGTCTAGTGGCGATCTCGACGCATTCACGTCTACTGATACACACATGGCGTGTTCCGGCGTGGGGATGCGTTTCTCCTCCCTCTCCACCATCAAGACTTCGATCACGAGGACTTGCGAGCAGCGTCGTAGACGCTGTCTCGCTGTATCTTAGCCGCTACGGTACGTAAACTGCGTTCATCTGCATTCTTCCTGGTAATTTACTACATGATAAGCAATCCTTTCGTGGGCCCGCGGTTCCCTCTGCGAGCAGGCCTCCGAATGGACGATCTTGAATCAGCGAGCCGCGCTTCGTGGCCCTCGTTAGGCTACCGCTGAATACTGGGAGGTCGCGTCGAATGCAGCTTCGCAGCCGCGTTCTGCCGCTCTGCAGCTCATAGGCTTAGGTAGCTTGGTTAGTCACCCATTACCCTTCGCCAGTCTCGTGTTGATCTCGTCTTACCAATAGTTCTTCAGTTGTATCCCGCTGTACTATCGCAAATACAATATGACTATGGTCCACTCGGGCAAAGTGTACGTGGGCCGTCGTCGCGCGGCCCTTTGGACAAACTTCTCGCAGTCGCCTGACCAAGTACTGCGTTTCTCGATGCCGCCCTCAGTTCTTATCGCTACGGTACGTGCACAACCTTTACTGCTATGTATTACCGGTGTAGCTGACGAGGACTAGCGCTAGATGAAGTCGGGACGGATCCCGCTCCGGCGAGCAGAGCCGAGCCGAGCCACTCGCGTGCATTGTCGCCCTCCAGGATAGCGAAGACGGGACGTATCGACATCCGGCGAGGGACGCGTGCGGTGCTTGGTCACGTATCTTTGTCATGACCCACGATGCCCTCTCCCCTCGCGAGCAGCATTGTGTACGCTGCCTCGCAGCATGTGCTTCGCCAAGGTACCTATCCCGTTTGAGTGTATTTCCTCTCTCGTTACTCAATGTTGGTCTAGATGGGTTGG